TCGTTATCAGGCTTCTGCAGAGGTTGGTGATGAGCTGATGGAAGAGGGAAACATCTAGAACATGCAGGACTGTGGCCCTCCAGGACCAGGATTGGACACCCCTGTACTAACTGGTTCCGGTGTGGATTTACCGATACAATAAACTTTTCGCGGCTAAACAGCTAAGGTAAGAGACATTTTCCAGCTCCGGTTTGGGTTTGTGCTGTTCTTTGGGTTGTTTCTCGCTGATGCTTTGATCTCAGAGAGCTTTGATGGACATGTCTGGACTCTGTGGACTGTCTGCTTTGGTCTGAGGCCTGTTGGTGCGTTTAGCATAAAGCAGCAAAGCGCTGGAGCCAGAAATGTGGCGAGTGGGTTGACTGGGTGGCGCTATGTCCATGTCCATGTGTGATAATTCATTTAGTTGGTGTGTGAGGTGTGTTTGGGGCGTGTAGACATGGCTGATAGGTTCTGGTAGCCCAGGTTCTGCTGTTTAATGTGATGTGCAGCATCACTATCGTCTGTCATGATGAGTGCTTTGTTTCATACTAGCTCTTTGTGGAGCCTCTCGGGCTTCAGGTTGACTGATTTTTATTTCTGCAGAATGACTCAGGTGTGTGTGTGTGTGTGTGTGTTTGTTGTTTTTTTTTGTTTAGGACTGAAAACCTGAATTTAGGGGAGGAAACACGTTTCTAATTCTGTCTGTCAGTCTCTCAGCTCTTTGTAAATGGAAACAGATTAATTTGGCTCTAATGTCACGTCTTAACGTGACACCTTGCTGCTCTCCATGTTGATCAGGTTTCGTGTCATCGATCATTGTGATGTTGGCTTTCTGTAGGATTTCTTACACACTCTATCTGCAAAGTCAAACTGACTTGTTTCACAGCAGACTCCACTACAAACCATTAATATGACCAAAAACCTGAAAAAGATTCTCGTGCCTTTAAGTTACGTCCAAAAGTAGAGAAATTATTTAAGAAAAAATAACCAAGTAATAAAAATGAAACTGTTTTGTTGAAGTGTTGAGGAGGAATTCAGTCATCTCAGAATGTAAAATGGTTAAAAATTCCGTCACTGTACAGTAATCACATTACTTCTAAGTTCAGCAGGAGGGTATCTGCTCAAATATACAATTCAAAACTAGCAGTTGTGATTTACTACATTAAAAGCACAGCAACAACAGCCAGTACTGAGATTTAAATGCTGTGTTTTGTATATTCACCTTTATTCTGAGGGCAGACACAAGCAATCCTGATGCCCTTTATAAATGTCATGGTGCCTCCATGGAGCTCCGTATCGTCACACAGGCTGTGGTTTAGGCGGCAGAGCAGGTTTTCCTTTAATTGCAAGATGCCGATTCCATCCTTGGATCCGTGCTCAAGAACCCAAAGTTCCTGATGGCAGTCAAGCACCTTGATTATCAGCTCTGTTGCCATCGGTGTGTGAATGGATGAAGTAGAAACGGTGCAGACCGCGTACCCACCTCTGGACTGTGCATCCACTGTGGTAACCCTGGTCCAGGTTCACTCCCCATCTCACTCTCATCTGACTAAAGAATGTCCTCCAAAAATTCATCAAGCTTATTTTCATGTTCTTTGTCTCACAGTTTTGAGGCAGCAGCAAGAGGTTTTTGGGTTTTGAACACGGTCCACTGAAGGTGAGGGTTTCTCACGTCCTTCACACTGAGCTTCCACAGAATCTCTGATTTCCATTGATGGCTGTTGTGTGAAGTTCTTTGCTGTCTTGTTTTCAGAGCTCAGTTGTGCAAGTCGTGCGCTGTCTGTGTCATTCTTTTAGGATGACGACCACTGCGGCTCTGATTTGTGTTCCTGTGACTCATTCAACTCGATTACTGCTGCAAGTGTGTTTCCACTGATTCTTAGCTTGTCGCTGATTTTCCTGTTTGTGTTCCATCTTTGTGAAGACTCAGAGAGATTTTTCAGTTCCTTTGGCAGTTATTTTCCACGTGGAGCCATGATGCAGATAGACAGTCTGTAGATCCAAAACTGAGGAGGTTCTGGTGTTTCTGGGTCATTTTCTAATCGTGTCCATGCAGTTAGGAAATGACAGGTGGTCAATCTGGTTCCACTGATCAAAGGTTTTCCAACTTGTGTGT